TTTTTATATGCTTTCAAACTGCTATGTTGGCAGAAGCTGGGACAAGTAACGGGAGCTCACTCTGTTATGTGGTGCTAGGGATTCAAACCGCCAAACTGCTGATCTTTCTGATCGACATGCTCAGCGTCTTAGCCACTGAGCCACCGCGTCCCTATGCAGGAATACTATGTTTTATTTACACTGGCTATCTTGATATTGTTAACGCTTCTTTGGTAAAAGCAGTAACTGTAATGACCGCTATGAGATACATGGCTAATCTGCACCTACTATTAAGTTGACATTTATAATGAAAACTTGTAAAGAAAAGAATCTTCCCAAATCCAACCAGACCTGCCCACATAGAAGCACTTTCAACAGAAGCTTTTGTTTGGCAAAGTCATTTAGTAAACAATATACCCAACTCTGTCTCCTTAAATATTACGGATCTAAAGGAAACTCAAAGAAAAGTGTTGCCAAAGTCTATGCAAAAAGGAAGATTCAGAAATTAAAGATCTGAAAGATCAAACATATTACTGCAGTTCCATATGGTGGCAGTTTGTAACACTATCATTTTGAAAGATTAAATATTGAAGGAAGAAAAACGGAACATTTCACTCATTAAACACACTGTAAAAATGTGGCTCCACCCCCACCATTTACTCAATCATGTTTCTTCAAGCTTTGATAAGAAATCAAATTAAATCCGGGACCAACAGTAGTTTAGTGCTTAAAGCTAGAAACTAAATATTTTGCATAGTCTGAGGAATTAGGCAGCCTATACATTATTATATAATAAATATACATATATCACTGTTTGGGAAAATATTTTAGACTTCACTATAGTTCAATGCTCATTTAAAGAATAGTGACACTGGAGAGAGAACATGTAGTGTCTCTTTTCTTGATTAATTATAAAGCAAATACATAGAATGATATAAACAAGGACACTATCAATATTTTATTATCCCACTTTAAATGCTGTGCACCAAAAATGAGGAAAAACAAACAAAAACAAAAAACAATAATTTAGGTACCTATTTCTATCATTTCTATTCTAAGTAGGACTTAATACAAATAATATTGTTGGTAATTTAAAATTATTCCTGTGTCCAAGTTTTCAAGTCTTGCAAAACAAAACCAATTTTTAAATTCCTAAGCATCTCCTGCAGTAAAAATCAAAATATAATGTCAGTGTGTGCCCATTTACAAGGCAAAATGGGGGGAGTCCATCCCCTCATAATATGGTATATATATAAAGTAAACAGCAATATAAGAAATAATGTTGAATAATTTTGGTTCAAAGACCAAAAGAGGAGGAAGAATCCTTCCAATAATCTTTCTAATCTAATTCCTAGTCACTAAATGACTACCGTCATGAGAGTTTTATGTGCTCTTAATTACTTGGAAAAAAAGTATAGTAACCCTATAATCTGAGTCAGATAATAGGCATCCATCCACAGGAAAATAACAACGTTGTAAGGAATGGGTTTGTCTAAAAAAAGAAAACTGCTGAGAATGAAACTGTAGCATCTCTCACCAGATATGCTAAGCTCTCTTATTGCCACGTATTTTCAAAGGCAACTCATAGATCTCATTTTCACATCAAGACAAAAACTATATATGGGTCTAATGCTACATAACACAATTTATATTGCCCTGCCCAAGTTTTATAAAACAGTCCCCTTTTGTTAAATCAATTTAGAAGGCCAACTAAAAAAAATACAATGAAAACATACTATTGCATTTCACAATTTCTGATCCTATTTCAAGCAGATTGCTGCAATCCAACAGAACCTGCCCACAACAAATGTAACAGCAACTGAAAAGGCATCATTCTAGCCTCTGTTACCTTCAGCAGTTCCAAAGACTAAATTCTTACCAGCACATCTGTCAAAGACAATCACAGCGGCAGAACCTCCCTGGTCTCACTGGATGACCTCACAGCCCAAATCATCAGGAACTGCATGGAGCTGAGGAAGAAAAGGATATATGCAGTGCCATCGCAACAGGAAGAAAAGGGGGGAGGGAGGTATGAGACTACCTTATCACCAGAAGCTGCTACATAGGCACCTTCCTCCTGCAATTAGGAGAAACGGTGACCAGATCTCAAAGGAAAAAGGTTAGATGTTGCAAAGAGAAAAAGGCGAACATCAAGACAACCTGCCCAGAGAGAGGTCCCTCTTAAACACTCCCAAGTTGGACTTCTCAAGAGAAATAAGTGAATGGAGAAGGAAAGAGGACCGATGGTGTCCTTTGGGGAGTTTTAAGGAGGGAGGACCACGCAATCCCAATCAAACAGGTGCAGCCTCATTTATTTCTGAACCCCACTCCTATCTGGGGAAGGCTTTTGCAGGGAAAGAGGAGGGCAGGAGAGGAGTTCCCAGAAAAGAAACCCAGGAAGGAGATTGTCCTAAATTAATGAAAAAGAGGGGAAGATGCTCTTGGAGAGAAACAAAAGAGCTACAAACCACATTACTGCCTAGAGAGAAGGTGAGTTTTATCAAAGCCAGTCTCTGAAAGGAGAATTTTTGTAGCTCAGGGTTTGAACTATGAGTGCTCTTTGACCTATGTGGATTTCTTCTACATGTTTCATTACCCAACTAGGTGATCTCATCAGTGCTGGAGGAAAGGGGGATGGAGGAGAAGGACTTTAGGACCCTTGGTGCTCTCCAAGCTTGGTGATTTTCTTCCAAACCTTTTATTGCCCAGTCTTAATAATTAACTAATAATAAGACACCTAACCTAGGTGACCTCATCAGAGGAGGAGGAGAATGACATAACTATAGGATCCTTGGTGTTTTCTGAGCTTGATTATGGTCCCCATAATCTAAGGACCCCATAGTCATTGTCCTCCTCCTCTTCTTCCTCTCCCTCCTAGCACTGATGAGGTTCCCTAGCTGGGTAATGAAACGTCTGCAAAAAAGCAACCAAGCTCAGAGAGCACCAAGGACCCCACAGTCCTCCTCCTCCAATCCCCTCTCCACCAGCACTGATGAAGTTCCCTAGTTGGGTCATGAAATGTCTGCAAGAAAAACACCAAGCTCAGAGAGCACCAAGGACCCCACAGTCCTCCTCCTCCAATCCCCTCTCCACCAGCACTGATGAAGTTCCCTAGTTGGGTCATGAAATGTCTGCAAGAAAAACACCAAGCTCAGAGAGCACCAAGGACCCCACAGTCCTCCTCCTCCAATCCCCTCTCCACCAGCACTGATGAAGTTCCCTAGCTGGATAATGAAACATCTGCCAGAAAAGCACCCAAAATCCTATAGTCGTCTTCCTTCTCCTCCAGCACTGATGGTGTTACCTAATTTGCTAATGAAAGATCTACTAGAAATCCACTGATCTCAGAGAGCACAGAATACACTACAGTCGTCTTCCTCCTCCTCAAACCCTCACTCCTCCAGCACTGATGAGGTTCCCTAGCTGGATAATGAAACGTCTGCAAAGAAAGCAACCCAAAGCCCAGAGACCACACAGCCTCCCCTCCAGCTCCTCCTCCCCGCCCAATAAAGACCACCCCACCCTCTCCCATCCTACATAGACAGAACACGAATTCACCCAAATAAGCCAAAAGAAAAGGTGGGGGAGGGGCAGCTGCCACAGGGCCCCAAAATCGCCTCAGAGTCACGCGGGGTGGGTGGGCTCTTCACCTGCCCGGCCAGGCCAGGACCCTTTCAGGGAAGCGAGGACGGCTGAAGGCCGGCTACCGAGAAGGATGGAGGCCGAGGATGGGGGAGGGGGAAACCCGGCTCCGGGAGCTTGAGAGGGGAGGGAAACCAGGCCCGACGCCCCGCCTGAGGGGAGCCGAGCGACCTTCGGAGCCCGCGCTCACCTGCTGCCGCCGCCGCCGCCGCCGCCGCCTCGCGCACGCGCAGTCCGAGCCGCCTCTGTTGTTGCCGCGGCTACTCCCTCGCCTCCTTCTCCTCCTCGGCCCGATTGGCTAAACGTCGCGCCGTCATTTGCATAGGCGGGACCGAGGAAGGAAGCTGATTGGCTGCAAGGAGGGAGCGGGAGGGGAAGAGCCAGCGCGCTCCAGCTAGGCGCTCAAAGACCGCTTGCTCTTTTAAAAAAAAAATCAAAATAGTGCGCTTGCGCGCCGGGCTGGCTGGTTCGATGGGCTGGAAAAGAGGCGTTTGGCAAGGAGCGCGTGGAGTTTCTCGCGGGGATCCCACGCGCCCTGTGCGTGGGGAACCTGCTTCCTCGGTGGCCTCTGTTGGATATCCCATTTGTAGCCAAGCCAAGTTTAATGCACAGATGTGAGAACAGAATAGAATAAGAAATGGGAACAGAATAGAATAAGAAATAGGAATAGATTAGAATAGAATAAGAAATGGGAATAGAATAGGAAATAGGAATTGAATAGAATAAGAAATGGGAATAGAATAGGATACGAAATAGGAATAGAATAGAATAAGAAATGGGAATAGAATAGGAAATAGGAATTGAGTAGAATAAGAAATGGGAATAGGAAATAGGAATAGAATAGAATAAGAAATGGGAACAGAATAGAATAGGAAATAGGAATAGATTAGAATAGAATAAGAAATGGGAATAGAATAGGAAATAGGAATTGAATAGAATAAGAAATGGGAATAGAATAGGATACGAAATAGGA